AACCAAGTATCAAACGATACTTAAAACAAACCAAGTATCAAAGCGATACTTAAACAAAACATAAAACAAAACCAAGTATTAAACGATACTTAAAACAAACCAAGTATCAAAGCGATACTTAAAACAAACCAAGTATCAAAGCGATACTTAAACAAAACATAAAACAAAACCAAGTATCAAACAATACTTAAAACAAACCAAGTATCAAATGATACTTAAAACAAACCAAGTATCAAATGATACTTAAAACAAACCAAGTATCAAAGCAATACTTAAAACAAAACATAAAGCAAAACCCATAACTGAGTACCCGTACCGGTTACAGCATCAGAAATTTGCAATCAGATGCTGAGAAAGGAATAAGGTTGACATGATGATGGATTGGCCTCCACAATCCCCAGATCTTAATTTGATTGAAAAGATTTGGGGATGGATGGAGTGTGAGCTGGGAGAACAATGGGGAAGGATTGAGAAGCTTGAACCACTAAAGGTAGCTCTAAATATTGTTTGGAATTCTGTATCCGTTGATTTTCTGCAGGGCCTTATTAGAAGCATGCCTGAACGGCTGCAAGCTGTTATAAATGCAAATGGTGGTCCTACACGTTACTAGTTCTATTGGATTTATTTTCTATTAAATTTGTATGATATTATATTGACTCCGATATATAACAGCTTGTTTGCACCAGTGTGCCACTACATGCACCGCCACATGCACCGCCACGTTCGCCAGACTTACCCCTGCCCCCTTCGTACAAGTAAAGACAACAGGTTCTAGGTCATTCATGCCACAGTCAGATATGTGACAAAACCGTACAACATGTTCAAACCTGACTCCAACAAGAGCTACTCCCTCCATTATGGCACTGTGTAAAAAATGAAAATTGTATATAAGTCCTAATATACCGTTTAAATGTTTTCACCAAAGGAAATCCTATTGTTAGCTCCCAGAAAAAGACTATTCCAAGTTTAGAAATTTTGTATCAAGTTTGCCGCGAGAGCAGATTTTGGTTGTCCGACATATACTACTCGCGCCTCCGCGCCAAGAATTGGAACCTGTTTTGGAATAGCGATAACAGGCTCAAACAAAGTGTAGTGTTATAGCTGCTTTTAGGTAGTACCAGTGCACACCACTACCGGTACTTCGACCTCTTGAAAACTCCCGGCTGGAGGCATAATACCTCGCAAGGAAAAATACACTGAATCCATTTTATTTCGCAACATATCTTCTGCAACTCTCTAGTGTTGTGTCGTTTTTTGATACTTTACCATTACCAGGTATTGGTACTTTCACCACAATCCAGCCATTCAAACAGCTTGAACGCTAGACTTTTTATGTGTCCGCTGTCGCTATTCCAAAACAGTCTTCAGTTCTTGGCGCGGAGACACAAGTACGTCATAACCTAGTAATTGAATATGGGATGTTTCCCTAACGCACATCCGAACCATATCCGCAGTCAATATATAACAGAGAAGGAAAAGAATCCACTGCCCTGTGTCATGTATGAGTAGGCTGGATTAGAGGTACTCTGATACCAGGGATAATCTGTGAACAGTAAGGTTTGGTTGGAATAGTGCGCGCACTATATGGGGTGGATTGAAAACCGGTAAAATTCCTCGAACGGCTTCTGCTTTAAGATTGGTTGAATAAACCCTGCGGTTCGGGGACCTACCCCGACATCCTAAGTATCAGAGAATCAGTGGCAAAACTGAGATTGACGATATCTGGAAAAAAATTGAGGAGACATATCGTTGAACCAGGCGCGAAACAACAGATGGACCCTTGGACTCCAAAATTTAGAGGTCATGGAGGGATCAGAAATGCCCAATGCTCGAGTACTTGAACAAAACGAGAATCCAGAGCTAAAAGAACAGCTACTTGAACGGGGGCTAAAAGAATAGACTTGCCTCACCCATATTATTTTGTGGAAAAACACCTAATCCGGTATCATTAGTATTGGGTGAGATTGGAATGTCTCGGGAAACCAGATGGAAGCTCTAGTTTAAATGCCACCTTGATTCTGGAAGGTTATAACCTCCTCATCCACCTGTATATTAATCCTAAACCCAATTTTTTTAAACGCCCCATGTTGAGCCAGTGCTGTTGTTGAGTTCTCCATGGTTTTCTCAGGAGCTTCGGATTATAACATTTCATCTAAACCTTTCCTTGCACATACTAATAGGACATTTTCGGGTCACGGGAAGGAAATGTATCGGTTGATCGTCGGTGGAAGATCGTGCAAAAAAAAGAACAAATCCAGGGAAAAGTTAACGGAAAGCGAATGACGGTCGTGAATGGTTTGGGATAGCACGGCCCTTTGGCTAATTCCAACTTCCGCAGTCGCAATGTCGTTTGTGTCCACATTCAATTCGGATGTGTTCGTTTACTTGTCGGAAAATCTTCTCCGACAAACCCTTCCCAGAAGACTTATCCTAAAGAAAACCCTAAGAGTCCTGACAACAAATTAAATATAGGGATCTAGATAAGATAACCCATATACCTAGCTTTCTCCCCGATAATATCCTACACTAAAATAAGCTCTGATGTCAAGCAAAAAACATAGGCATGGCCTAGAATACCGCACCGTATAGTGCGAAGAGTTCTCAACGTGCATCATATCATATCATACCAAGGCCGTTGAATTTTAGAAGGGTTCAAGGCCCTATGCAAGATCAATGACATTCACCGATCTTGAGTTCCATAGGAACTCGAATACCGGTAATTGGACCAGGTGTTGGGCGTTGAACTTCCGTGCTTTTTTTCTTTTTTGTTTGTCTCAGGGGACAGGTTTTTTGGTGTGTTTTTGGCCCCTTTTCTAGAGGAGGGAATTTTGGACTTCAAGGCACATGGTCCAATGATTCTAGTTTCTACTGGTATAACCATGTACAGTACCCTGGTAAATCGGAGTCATTGCACGATTCAACAGCCCCGGTACACATTGAGAATGTTTTGCCCCACACATAACACATCAGTTTAATCGACCCCTGGGGCCTGCCGTCCGGCAAGTGGCAAAGCGTTTTCTTCGAACATTCCGCGAAATTACTCCAACCCCGACCCAATATCTCGCCTGCAAGCATCCTCAACACATGCTTCGGTACTCACGTCCAAAGACCGAGAGTAGCCGAGTGATCCATTATTTGCAAGGAAGTGCCACAAAGTCATCCTGCAGTCAATGTGAGTATTTGTGCGTGGTGGGGCGGTACTCCGAACCTCTCCCGTGGTTCATTGTTCAATCAACCAAGATATTGGAACGATGGGCCCAGATCGAGAGGGCCGTCAAGTCGTACCACCGGTTGAGGGCGTGGGGTCCGGATCTGGCGATATCCTGATTCCCTGGTTTCCCTTTTCAGCCAGCAACAGACGATGTTCGGGTTACCTTTCCAGCATAAAGCCCGGGTTCGCTGAGGTGAAACATCTTAGCATTGAAGCACCAGATTTATTAGACACGGTGCCAAGATATCAGGAACAGCGTTCCTTACCGCATGCGGCAGAGCCCCAACTCACTGCGCCTCAACCGCGCCGCATTCTCTCCAGTTACTTGTAAACCAGAAAGAGCGCGAGAGCAGTTGAGAAAAGTGTAACTCAGCAAGGGAGATTAAATTCCTTCAGAAGACTCCCCCCCCCGGAAAAATTTGTCGATTAGAGCCCTCTGCCGGAATGGCAAATTGCCCTCAAAATCTTGCTCTGGTGTGAGGCTCTCGCGCAGATCTCGCTCGCCTAACAAGCCACACTTTATTTGACAACGCTAGGCCATTTCCGGTTTAACCTGATGCAAGACCCCGGGAGACGTTTTAGCACAAGACAGGAAGACGGGGATAATTAACCGTCAAAATAGTTCCTCTCATCTACCGGTACCGGTACTCGAGTACGAGAAGATCTTCCTGGTGCTTGTGCTGCTCAGTCTTAAGTGGCTTACTGTATCTAAACCTCCCGTAATTTCATTCCCGGCTTATCCGCCAAAATCATTAAAAACTTGTGAGGACTTTCGTGCCCAACAATTGCGCCAGCTGTGAAACCGGCTGACGAAAAAGGATCAGTAACAAGTGATTTTTTTTGTTTCCATACTTCGACAATTTCCCTTTTGCCCACCAAACACCCCCATCCACCACCAGCGCAGCTTCGTTGTGGTACAGTTATGACAGCTACCGTTCTGCGGTACCGGGACGTGATCAAAGCTTCCTGCGTAATGTATTATAGCCGGGTATTAAAGACCGGAGAAATCGCCGGACCCACGGTTCTGGAGAGTTTCACCGTCAGAGGCACTCGAATACCGGTACTGTATCACTACCACAGGTGCTTGTACGGAGGCGCCGGTGCGGTAGACACGGTTGAACTCGCTCGCTAGTTTTGCAAGTCGTATCTTGATATAACCTGGCGAAACCTAGCGACAGCCCAGCCTTCTATTCTTAGTTTGTGTTCACAAAACACGATAGCTTGAGGTGATGAGTACAGTACTCACATCCATAATCGGTCTACGGAGTAATGGTGTCAGAGTTCCTCATCAAACTAGAGGTTTAACACAGTCGTTAGCGCCCGAAAGCCTCCCAGTGACCTCACACCCGTTTGCACCTTTTGTGGGGAACTCGGGTACCCCAGGATTCCTTCACTTGGTTACAGCCAAGTTCAGAAGCCTCCCTCTCCACCTTCCTCTTCGATTCCTTACCGGTGCTGGTGCGGGGGGACAATCCACTTTTGTCTGTGAACTTTCTCTCAAAAGTGAAGGCTAATGTGTTGCACACGCGTGCTCTCATATCCAACGACTATCAGGTAATGATTCCCGCAATTTCGCCCATGACGGCAGTTATCCTGCAGGCGGGTCGCAAGGTTTAGGGGAGAGAAACGGAACGAGACGGAAATTGCAACCACCATACTAAGTTGATAAGCTCACTATAAAAAAATAATTTCCTCCCACTCCCCCGCTCCCCCTCCCACAAATTTATCCTCATTTTCCATAACAACTAAACACAAAGAAAGAAACCTCTGCGATACGAAAAGAAGCAAGATGGGAAAGTTCTTTAGCAAACGTTCCTCCTTGCGCGCACGAGATGACCAGGTCACAAATGCAACTGACCTGACACTAAGGCAGTCGTTGCTCCCTTTAGCTCTGGTTACAATTTTGTTTTTCCTTTGGGTAAATAACCTCACCTTTGGTATAATTACCTTAGTCATTAATGTTTGATAGGGCTTTGCCTACGGTCTTTTAGATGTCCTCAATAAGCACTTCCAGAATACGTTAAATATTTCGCGGTCAAGATCATCGGGCCTCCAGGCTGCGTACTTTGGGTGAGCGGCTGTTTTTCTTTCTCAAGTGGAGATAATACTAATTCCTCGTAACAGGGCATATCCCATCGCATCGTTGACATATGCTGGTATCGTTTTGAGGAAATTTTCTTACAAAGCAACATTCATGCTTGGCTTGACCTTATATGGGATCGGTGCTTTATTGTTCTGGCCAGCAGCGCTAAAGCGATCCTTTGGAGCGAGTTTCCTTCCCTCCCGAGCCGTTCGCCCAGCTATTAGAGAGGAGGCTAACGTCGGAATGATGGGTAGGGTTTTTGTGGCGCAACATTTATTATCGGATCCGGGCTTGGTACACTTGAGACTGCCGCCAATCCATATCTGGCGGGTAAGAAATAGATCCCCTCACATCCCCGCAGATCCATTCCGGTACCGATACTCAGTGACGACTATTATCACAGTATGCGGTCCACCAAAATACTCCGAGATGCGCCTCAACTTTGCACAAGCAGTGCAGGCGGTTGGAACTGTAGTCGGGCCTGTCCTTGCCTCACATGTCTTCTTCAAGAACGTCAAGGATAACTCCCTGGAATCTGTGCAATGGGTGTATCTTGGTATCGCGATTTTCGTCTTCCTCCTCGCAGGCGTGTTCTATCTCGCGAACATCCCCGAAATTACGGATGCCGACATGGAGCGCCAGATGGAACTCACCGGCGGGGTCTTCATGGAGACAGACGGTAAGCCATTGAAGAGCCAATACCACCTCTGGTGGGCCGCTGGAGCCCAGTTCTGCTACGTTGGGAGTCAAGGTGATCCCCATCCCACCCCAAGCTCTTCGGAACGCTCTGCTAACAGACCCGACCAAACAGTCGCCGTTGCCGGATACTTTGTAAACTACGTAACAGAAACCCGCGGCCACACCTCTAGCGCCCAGGGCGCAAACTTCCTCGCGGTCGCGCAAGGCTGTTTCGCGGTGGGCCGCTTCCTCGGAACGTTCTTCATGAAATTCGCCAAGCCGCGCTGGGTCTTCTTTGCCTTCTTCACGGGCGTAATTGTCTTCCAAGCCGTGGCGGTCGGCGCGCGCAATGACGCGGGTCTCGCCTCCCTCAACCTCGTCCTCTTCTTTGAGTCCATCTGCTTCCCGACAATCTTCACCCTCGGTATTCGCGGACTAGGCAAGCATACCAAGACCGGTTCCACGGTTATCGTAGGCGCCATTATCGGGGGCGCGGTCATACCCCCGCTACTTGGCGCTACAGCCGATCACTTTAACAACACTGGCCCCGCGATGTTTGTTCCATTGGTCTTTTTCGTGCTGGCATATACTTTCCCGATCGGGGTGAACTTTTACAAGCCGTTGGCGGAGTTGATGGATGGGTTTTTAGAGAGTAAGGTTGGCCAAGGGGATAAAGGGTTTAACGCTGAAGAGGCGCAGGCAGCGGAGATGGAAGATATGGGGGGTGGGAAGAGAGGGGATGTTTAGTAGGGAGTAGTTGCGTTCACAATATGATTTCATTTGCCATTTTTCCTCCTTCTTTCTGTGAGCAAGCGGTGTTCTTATAAATTTATATTTCATGACCCGGATATAGAGAGTAAATTTTTTAAATAAAGTCCGTGGATCTACACCGCTCATATTTGCTTTATCAAGAGACTCCTTAACAAGGCCCGAATTTTACTGTTTGCCAATAACTTGGGGCCCGTTTGGTTGTGATAGTTCTGTTTGGTCATCCCATACAAGGTGACCGCTTCCAAACGGAAGGACGACCATATTTATTTGGGAAACGGTCGCAAAACAGGACGGAACCATCGCAGACAAACAGGCCCTTACCGCTGTTCTCATTGAACAACATAACTTGTCATACTTCAGGATTAATCTCGTATTTATACAATTTTGCATAATACTGTAAAATACTGTTTTTTAACCGTTCAAATAATATTATGAGACGTATATTATTAAATTTTGATAGAAGAAAATTGTTCTTACAAAAATCCACAATTTTGTAAGAATCACTATCATACGAAGAGCTGTAAATGGGGAAGAATACATTTTATAGTAATGACATAGTCACAAATTCAAGTCAATTTTGAGTAACTAGTTTGATAATAACCTCATGAATAATATCTTGAGTTTGTTGAAGGTGTGGAGTGAAAATTTCAAAATTTACATTAAATGCTAGTACGAGTACAGAAGTTGTTATATCATACCAACCTCTAGTTAGGGTAGTAATTCAGGACAATTACTCTTTAAGATCATTGATTTAAGGTTACTTATTTTAGGGCATGTAAGTATGGTATGTAGAGTATAAAAAGTAAAGTATAATAATATTATTATACGGTATAATTATTATGATAGTTATCATAATAATTATTATCATAATATACGTAGATTTGAAATCCAAATTCATACTATGATATGATATCATACCCAAACCTGCTCCCCTATGCCCTACCCATAGATAACGCCACAACCCCATTTCATCACACTCCCTCTTCTCCTGACGCCCCCCCCATAAAATTATCAAATCCTATCATAATAATAATATTATTATCATTATCATAATTATCATACCTCTCTGACATAGAGGGGGCAACCCCCCACACGAAATACAAATCATCACTTATCATAATATTATGATACCACACCTTGTCGGATATGATATAGCACTGCCAGATAGGCTAATAAATAGTATGATTCGAAAAGGTTCAAAACTTGCACTTGAAATTCAATGATTTTCAAATTCTAAAGTCGCTACAACCGATAACATCATTGGAAAAAAAAGACCTCCCTATTAGAGAGAAGGATGAGAATAACAGTATTTTTCCCATTATGTTTGTTTTGCAGAAGCTTTAGAACTTGAAAGGTTGGATCCCTGGTGGGAGGGCCAATGAATGAAAAGAATGATACTCGTGAATCAGCCTCATACTCGCCACTTATTAATTATGTCGCCAATGCCCAGGAGGCAGATTTTTAAGTAATTATAACATTGTTTCTTACTAAATACCTGTATGTTACGGGAACCTATAACCTACCAAACTAGATGTTAACCGTTTTATTAATAGAATTTGTCACTTTTTAACTTTCCTCATAACCTGTTGTGGACAATATCCGTTACCGGGAGCCTTTTTTTCCTATGATATGATACTTTCCTGCACTTCAAATCCTGTCTTCGTGTCCAAATTTCCTCAGCCAAATATAACACTTTTTTTCCAGCCGGCGCACTTCTTAGACCACTCAAATCATAATCCTAGATTGGTACGCAGTTACTGGAGCCCAGATAAGAGCTCACGGCGTCCTCGGCATGTAGTATTACTCGGTTTTTAGCTTTCCATTGCCAGGATAAGGGGGGTTTACAAAACTTATAACTATACATCTCCTATTTCGTGCTAGCTTAATTTATACTACGTATTTTCTCTAGTTATGGTACTAATTCGCCCAGGAGCTCCACCGCGTGTGATACTTCATGAGGGGAGCTGTGCTGCCTCACGACAGACGCCCCCTGAAGCCATTGGAATCCCCCCCTCCCCATTTCATTACCCCATCTCCCCAGATTCACGATGGTTCACTCATCCACCGTTTTGTGCGACACTCTGCGGTTCACGACAACCACAAGGGCGAATACACTATTGTACAAGTACTTGTACCAGCGCTTAAACTCCTATTCTACCAAAACAGGCAGAACACTCCAGGGAGGGAGAAGAAAAGTCAGAAGTCACAGTACCTTAGTCCTAATGGATAGCGTGGCTTGGATCTCCTGATGGCATTTTTTAATGTACGGAGGTAGAGTACTGCGCTCGCTATTGTGCGAACAGGCAAAAGTGAGGGTTAAGAAATCGGATCTATTGCCGTAAGCCCTCGCCTCCTCCCGTTCTCCACTTCGCCAACTCGCTACCCCGACGAGCTAAGTGTGGTACACTTGTGGAGGTTTTTAGAGCAAAGTATTGTAATAAGAAGAAGAAAACTAACAAACACCGCCTCGAAGTAACGCCTCACTACCACTGTAGTATTCTGTAATCCTGTCCTGCAGCGAGGAGAGAATGCCGAACCCCCTTAGTCGGTGCGCTCAAACCACCGGGACACACCGCTGACAACGCCGATGGCCTGCTAACTACTGTACCTAGCCGAGCGAGGTACAATATTAGGGAAGGCCGAGCGCTGTAGGGGTAAACACCGGTCCTCGGTCCTCGAGGTTTTGCTATCCAGCCCTTTGTACTCTGTGGGTCGATATGCCTCCCGGGTATGAGACTTTGATCAGGTGGCATTGTGAAAGGTGTGGAGAGAATATTCTGCTCTGTGGTTGTTTATTTATAGTAGCTTATTTTTACGTTTCGCGCCTGGCGACAGAACTGAGGACGTTCCTGAGTCGGGAAATTTTGATTCACACTATGGGTGAGAGTTCGCTGAGGGTGTTAATGTGGGATTGTAAAAACGTTATCGTAGCTCGCTTGGGGGGGATTTTTCTTTTTTTTTTGAAAGCCCTTCCTTATCCATGGATGGATTTATATTGTATAGAAATACAATCAATCACACTAGGCATTTCGCGGGTTTCTTTTCTGTTTTTTCAAAAGTAAAAGCACTAGTATCATACACCCCAAACCTCTTCCGAAAGTTCTCCCGCCAGGCCCGTGTGTATTTTCGACATATGTACGGTGCTCTACCGCCACCACGGTAGAGTAGGGAAACCCTGGCAGGATGAGGGTACTCGAGTACTATCATACTTGTACTCCACAGACCTGCTAAAGGATTGTGGGGTTTCTGGTATGATGTCATGCAATCTTTCCACAACAGCTACCGGTATTAGCGTAGCGGGATGACCTGGGGATTCGCATCTTAACTATTCTCAGGGAGTGTGGGAAGGACATTTATGGTACACACGACCTGTGTCCTCCGGGTGAGCATACCACCACCTCCAATTGCGTGACCCCAGATTGAGCCCAGGGGTCCTGCACCAGTTTACCAGGAATGCTAAGCTCACCCCAAAGCGCGAATTTCTCCTTCCATCCCGCCCTCAACTTCGACTGCTAAACCAGGTTCTATCAATGAGTTATATTACATTCCTCCATCTGCTCAGTCGTAGCGCATACCGCGATACCATACCCCATGAAACCTCCACCTCAACTGGCCTTTTCCGATCGATCGTTGTGATTCCTGGCACTCGTGAACTAAAATTCTTGTTTGTGATGTCTTTCGCATGCTTCTTTTCTCACATGCCGCCGACGAGTGTTACTAGTTGGTCTACCAGGTAGCCTGCTGGATATTGACACAGTACGATTGAGCTTAAGGCGATCAATTTCTTTATTGGGGGGATGGGAGGGTGGGAATGTCGGACTTTTTTTGTTTCGCGTTGTGATTGTGATACTGACATCTTAGAATCAACTCTCAGGGCCATTGAATTCTACCGGTGGTCCCGGGCGGTTGCCAAGCCGGACGAGCCAAGTCGGGAACAGAGTAATTCCGAGACAGGAAAGGCTGGCTTGGCGGTTCCTGGGTGGAGCAGACCACAAATGTCCATAGTCAGCGATAAAGTGCTCAAATGATGTTGTTGGTCCTTGGAGACAACCTTCTTTTTCCTTCACATGGTTCGCTCAAACACAAATACTCTATAGTACAAGAGGTACAGTACACCAACGGTATATCTCAGTGGATTGTAACTTGTATCTAAAGCAGTGGTGGGCTAATACACTATCTAGGGGAATTACCACCTTATGTGTCCAATTTCAACTCGGCCATGGGAATACCGTACAGTATGATACTTGAACGAGTGGGGGTCGTTTGGAAACCCCTGAGCCCTCTTGGCGTCTAAGAACAACAATAGTTTATCTGTTGCCTTAACAATCCTTTAGCCACAAATTCCAAAGATATCTAAGAGAGACAACAATGACTAAATCACATTTCACGACTGTCTAACACCGACTCGGCTGCCGAGAAGTGAGTGGAAGATTTTGGCACCCCCCTTTCACCCATTTTGCAAAATGATATAACTTCACGGGCGTGTATGAAGCATTCTCAATAGAGCTCAAAATATATTGTTGATTGAAAGAGAGTCTATCTTCCAACAATTTTTTTGTGCCAACAAATTGTTGCCAAGAATGGCTGAGGCATGTTTAGTTAGGTAGCTTAAGTGATATCATGCTTTCATTTAGTGTCGGTTGTGGTATGTCTGCAATACCCGTAACTCCCAGCTAATGTAACCTCGAGTACAGAAAGGCTACCCTATCCAATAAAATCTCATCAAAGTCCCCGCTACCGGTAAGACCTATCCCCTAGTTTACCCCAGAAAAAACGTTCGTTGAGTTATTGAAGTAGGGTACTGTTTGTGCAGAATTGGTGGGGGGTCAAATTTTCCGCCCACCCACCACCCCACTAGTTAGACCAGTGCTATGGGCAAACAGCCACCAAACGTTGTTTCACCTATGAGCACAACTATCATACCCGGGAGATGTTTTCGTCCAACCTCACCTAACTATTCACTATCTTTCTCCTAG